AAGAAATGCATAGATAGGCTAAACGAACCTCAAGGTGAAGACCGTTTTCTAGTTCAACATAATCTTTAAATTTTCGGTCCAAGGTGCTGGCTGCAACGGTTATCATCCAAGGTGCGAAATTCCTAACCGATCCAGCTCCATGCCTTGCTGTATTTCCAGCGGCGAATACAACTGTAATACCATGTTTAACGGCATGGAATGCTCCGATGGCTCTGACATCATCGAAGTAACCACTACCTACATCTTTAGAAGAGAGTGACACTGAAATCACATCAACCCCGTCATGTATGGCCATGTCAAATGCAGCCAGGACATCAGAGTCAAAGCATTTATTTTTTGGTCCCCAGCACACCTTATAAGCAGCTACCCGCGCTTTAGGCGAGCCACCTTTGGCAGTCCCGTAATCCACACCTAAGACGGTGGCTCCTGGAACAAAGCTCCCACCCGCTGTTGAAAGTGTGTGAGTGCCATGGCCATCCTCGTCAAGGGCATTTAATTGAGAAGAGTTCACCCCTCCACCATTTGAAATAAAACCTTTGTTGAAGTACCTTGCTCCAATGAGCTTTCTGCATGGGTCACCAATAGTAAACTAGACGTCGACACATACATACAACTCCACAACCTATATACTACTAGTGTTTAGAGATTTTCTGGTCCTATTTAATCATAGCCTGGATTATGGATGGGTGGGAAGGAAGGCTCAAACTGAAGTTAAATTTAAACATATATCAATTGAAATCAAGACAAAAACTCAGTATATCAATTATGGATTTAATAATAAGCAACAGACAACAGTCGCTTACCTGTTACAACCAACCCCAGCCTCAGAGTCAAGCTGACATTCACCTTTCCACCTGGACGGAACAGGTCCAATCCCTTCGTCGCAAAAGCTTTTTGATCTGGGCCAAACGCCTAGAACAATCCCATTTAAATTAGAGAAAAAATATACCAAAGCATCTTTTGAAGCAAGTTGTCTTTTTATGGGCTGGAACCTTGTTCCTTTTCATGTTGCATATTAGTATATATTTGGTTTTTTGAAACACGAATAAAGTTAGAAAGCAAAAGGAATTTGAATTCGTGATGGCAGCGCATGAAAGAAAAGAATGGTTAATTAATTACCGGTGTCTATGTTTGCAATGATGGTGTCTTCACCAAATCTACCTTCCGTCCACAAGGAACCAGGAACCACCTCACCATTCCATTCCAGGGACATGAGTTCCCATGAATGAGTCGTTTGCAATTTACTTAGTCTGTTTGGGAAAACTGATACAACTTCAGGATGCACTGCATTCAAAATGAACGGTATCTCGAAAGCATCAGTTTCTTTTAGTACTAGTTACGGCCACCTAGCTACCACTTAATTAGATTGTCTAAAATACACGGGGAGGGAGCCAAGGTGAATGTCAATCTACTATGTTATTACTTGCAATCTCAGCAGCCTCTTCCTCTTCAAGGGTGGCAGCAAAACCGTTGATATGTCTTTGGTACGAGTCAAAGATGGCTTCTCTGGCCTTCTCCTTACTACGTGAAAACAACAAATTGAGTCATGATATGCATACATCTATATATATATAGAAAAACAAAGCCAAGAATGCATATATATATATATATATGTATATATGATCGACCATTCAGTATAGCAAAATACCAGAAGGAAAATACCATACCTTCCCAAGAATAACCCGAGGAGATTATAATGAGAATCAGTCACTCGATTAAGATCAGCATCCGTAACTTCTGGGCCGTGTGCATGCGACCCCAAGTAGACTATGTAAGACTTTATCAAATGGACAGAAGAGAAAATATACAAAAAAAAAAAACAAAACAAAACAAAAAGAGCTCGGTTAAAACTTAAACTTATGGAACCAATAGTTATGCACGTATTAACCAGATTCATTCAGAAGTTTTTCGTAACGAATGACAGATTCGAGTAGAAGACAGTATTTCATTTTATTTTTTACCTTTTTGATCGCAAAAGCGGGTGCTTGGAATAGCGAACAGCAAATACCAATTGATAGAAGGAACAGTGAAAGCTTGGGAAACCACATTGTTATGCCGTGAAGATGAGGGTTTAACTCCCCTTTCACGGTTCATGTAATTTATATGGTAGTCAGCTGCACCTAAAGAGAAACACTGTTTTTGGGATTACGTATACAAGCTTACCTCAAAATCAGATAATTATTAATTAGATAGTGGCAGACGGTAGTGTGCAGGTAGAAAAGATAAGAATCCTATACCAGAAGCGGTTATATTTTCCCAACCGATTATGTTTGTGATATTACTTAATCATAGGATTAGAAGAGACATCATTTCCTTCTATCTCATGAAGCAATATAACAACTGACAAGTCGGATATATGTATGTATGTGTGTTGCACTATTAATAAACAGCAGGAAAGCTACTCTCTCTCTCTCTCTCTCTCTCTCTATATATATATATATATATATATATAT